GGGGGGGGCCCCCGGGGAAAAACCCCAACCCAAAAAATCCCCCCCTTTTTTTTTTCCCGGCAGTTTTCACCCGGGATAAAAAAAAAAACCCGGGGTTCCCCCGGGACCCCCCGGTTTTTTTTCGGGTCCCCCCTTTTTTTCCCGGCAAATTAAACGGTTTTTGGCCCCCCAAAAAAAATCGGGCCCTTTTTGGGGGGGGGGGTCCCCCTGGGCCTTTTTTGACAGGAAAAACAAACCCCCCCCCCCCCGTTTCCCCCCCCCCCCCCCCCCCCCCCCCTGCAAGGTTTGTGACCGTAGCTGCGGAACGGGGCGGTACGGCGACTACAACTGCGGCTGGCGAGGCTACGGTTCGGACTGCCGGTTCTGCTTCAACGACCGCGAGGAAGCCCTGACGGCGAACGCCGTGGCCAAGCGCAGAGGGGGCTCCGTCATTATGTGAGGGCCCACCGGCCGTCCGCCGGCCGTCCGCCAGGGCTGAGCCGGTCCCAGATGACGCCCTCGTCTCACCTCGTGACGGAACGGAACGTGTTATCCCTCGGGAGGGCAGCAGCGGGTGTGGGGGGGAGCGTCGGCCCCGTCTGTTGGCATTTATCTCGTGTTCTCGTGTTCTCGTGTTCCGCTACGTGTGCAGGCACCCGTTCCCTGGCTCTATTAGATGGCGTTCACGTTTCACGATCGTGCGCTCCATAACGATTTTGTGTACAAAAACGAAGAACACGTGCTCTTCGGCCTCTGCTCGCCTTCCTGCCTGCCTGCGTCTGCCGCAGGTGCCACACGTTCGAGCCGCCCACGGAGGAGGACGAGTGGACACCGCCCATCACGGCGGAGGACGACGATGGCACGATCGGCGGCGGCCATGGCGCTGCTGCTGCTGCTGCTGCTGCGGGTGCCGAAGACGCGGCCGCTCCGAAAGTCTTGACGTGAGTCCCATACTATGGACCGAGTATGAGGGCTGCATGGCTGTGGTGCTTCGTGTGCCGCCATGGCGTTCTTTTCGTTTCTTTCCAGCTGTCCTCTACGTGTAGTGGCGAAGAGTCTGGTGCGCTGGTGACACGCAGTTGTTGCAGTGCTATTTACGACGACCGGTATTCTTTGCATTGTTTTGTGTTATCTGTCGAAAGGTAGCGACATTCAGCCAAAACACGGTGGCCCTCGTTTCCCTTTCCACTGCCGGGAGGGGCGGCGCTACGGACGTGTCATGCAATGTACCCTTGGGGAATGCAACGCCTGTTTTTGAGACCAGACCGAAACGAGTCGGCAAGCACACGATGCACCATGTCTTTGTGCCGTTGATGGTTTATCGTCTTGTTCCAGGTGGAAGGTGGGTGGGTTTTCGAATTGTCTCTTTCCCCCTCTCTCTCTCAAGCAAACAACCAAACAAACACGCACGCACGCACACGCACATGTATTCTGCTCACATGGCATTGCTTCCCAACCGAGAGATCGCCCACGCCACCCTCTCCTACCCTCCTCTCCCCTCCGTTTTTCTCGTTGCTCTCATTTGATCGATTTTCGCGGGCGGCTTGGCGCGTCTAGGTCGTCGTCCACGGACGACGACACCCCCTACGACCCGGCGAACGAGCCGTACCTCAAGGACATCACGCGCGGGCAGATCTGCGCGTTCATGACCGGCTTCTCGTCTTTCTTGAAGGAGACCGAGGTTACCGTCAAGAGCATCGTGCAGTTCATGCCCGGGATGCGGGTAGCCATCGCGACCCAAGATCACGATGTCTCGGTGTTCGAACGGTAGGTACAGCAGCAGTGCTACACTTGTTGGACCACAGCTGTATTTGGGTGTCAATGAAGAAGCAGAGCGAAGGCAACAAGCGTGTTTACTTGTTGTGGTTTGTTTTGTTGAGAGCAACGCGTCTCGTCTTGCTGCATGGTGTGTGTTTGTGGCCAATGCCCCCACCACACACACCTCTGCGTCCCGTTGTTGTTGGCGTACGGTTTATTACCCGCATGATGGAGGCGGTACGAGGGCAGGGGAGGGGGGGAGGGGTACCACTATTGTACCAGTACTAGCGTTTTACTTCTTGCCGGTGGTGGTGTTTTCGGTTTCGTTTGTTGATTTTCAACCTGGTGGAGTCATCCCCTTCTTGTCTTGGAGCCGGACGATCACTTTCCGCACGCACTCGAAAAAAAAACACACACACATACACACACGCACCTTTCTCTCCTAAAGGTCCCTGGGTAACCTACCGGGAGTCGTGGTCTCGGAGGCGATCTCGCCCATCACCCTGGCGCCCCTCCTGGCGGACCGGCACTGCGGGAAGGGCACCAAGCTGGTGTTCTACATGAACCCGGGCGAGCTCTTGTCTAGAAAGTTCACTTCTAAGGACACGCACTCTGCTGCCGGCGACCTCCTGGTGGTGTATGCGGAGGTACGTTACGCGTGGTGTTTGGCCCTGGCCGCGGGGCTTGGCGCTTGGTGGCTCTTCTTCCTCGTCTCTCTCGAAATATGTATAGAAGTATGTACGACGACAACGCCAGTGTCAAAAGACGGGGTCGCCATCGACAGACGCTGCACGGAGATGTGACCTTATGAAGAGGTCAGCTCTACGTCTCCCTCTTTCTCTGCCTCTCCCTCTCTTGCTCGCCCCCCCGGTCCTCTACGGAAACCACGCATGCATGACACGTGCAATATTTCCCGCACACGACAACATGAACGCGCGCTTACACGCAAGTGGTCTTTTTCATGTGAAGACACATATCGCTTACGTTTAGTGTTAGCTTTCAAGAATTCCGAAACACGGCGGGCGGCCTTCTCACGTGCAAATAATTTTCCGGGTGGAAACTCGAACTCCATCAACAAGCTCGCAATTCAATTGTTTGGCCTCGACTCCTGTTTCTTGCCCTTTGGCTGCCTATCGTGGCGATGGCAGCGGCGATGCGCTCTGTTATGACGGTGGTACTCTGTGTGGAGAGCGTGTTCTACGCTTTGCGCTTTTGCAACAACTTCGTATGTACCGCGTTTACATCTACAACCTCGTTTTTGTTTTCGGAAGACTTGTTGACCGGGCCCGCGATAAAAGTTCGCCGCACAGGTGGTAGAATACTTTTTGGGTTGGGGAGCGTACGCCCTACACTTACAACTTCGTGTGTACACCACGTATTATGTATCTACAACCTTGTGTGTTGTGTTCGTCCGACGACTTCCAGCAAAAAACAAAATCTTTTTGCCGCACACAACACGCGCGCAGGTGGGTCGGGTCGGCGAGGCAAGCATAAGGCGCGCGCTCGCCACCATGTCGGTGCTCGGGTTCAGCAGCCCGTCTTTTTCGTTCGGCATGGACATCATGCTGCCCGTGCACACGAACGGGCAGCTGCGGGAACTGCTGCTCTCGGACCCCGGGGCGACCGGCAAGGGCCTCGACAGGGAGTCGCAGGCGGTGCACGCCCTGGGGAAGTACTCGGGCGTGTTCGTACCAGAGGTGAGAGAGAGAGAGAGAGAACAGACAAGAGAGAAGAGGCTTGGGTGCTTGGCTAGTCGCTGTGCTTGATCGATCCCAGCTTTGGGGGGGGGAGGGAGATGCCGATGGGGGGATTGGGTGGTTGTGGCAGCCAGGACCATGAAGGCCTTTTTGGAGACGTGGAGGGGGGGGCGTTCTGCACTGCTGCCGAATGTTAACACCCACTCAAAAACTTAAATCTTTTATTTTGCGTCGCCCCACTGCCTGAAGAGGCCTCACCTCCTACCTACCTTTAAATCCCCAACGAATGTACTCCCAAACCAATAAAATAAAAAAATCAGGTTCTGGCCGCGCTAGCGTACTCCCTCAACGAGCCGGGCCTGTGGTTCATCAACCCGCAGCAGTGGGTGACCCACCACATGTTCCAGCAGGCTTCGATCTGGGACATCCCGCTGGTGAAGCCGCGGTTCGGCTGCGCGTTCGACATCTCCATGGCGGCGCAGGGCTACGACGTAGCCTCCGCGCTGGAGACGCAGCTGGGCCACTTCATGAGCGGGTCCGCCTGCGAGCGGGGCTTCATCCCCCTGGACCACGCGTCCCTCAGGCCGAAGCCGAACATCGAGTTCGGGTACCCGACTGGGCGGGAGATGCCGTCCATCTCGAAGCTCCGGCTCCGAGTCAGCGTTATCTTCTGCGTCGGCAGGGGGGTGAGCCCGACCCTCCTGGACGCCTCAATCCTCAGCGTGGAGGCCAAGTTCCCCGACGCGGCGGAGGTGGTGGTGGTATTCACGGAGCCCCCGGCGAAGCGCGCGGCCCTGCGGGAGATCCTGAAGGTCCGCAGCGAGAGCGCGCCCTTTCCCGTGGAGGCGATCGAGGAGGACGGGCCAATCGGGGCGCCGACAGACGGCGGCTGGCCCGGATGGTCAGGGCTTCGCGCGGACGACTACGCGTCGGGGGACTTGGTCATGATGCTGGACGCCGGCGACCTCCTGGTGATCGACGTTACCTACGACAACATCTTCCACTTCGGGAAGCCCGTGATCCCATTCAAGAGGCTGGCGCTGGGGAATGGCGGCGGCTCGGGCGGCTGGGCTAGCAGTGAGTGGAAGGGCGTCTTTTAATTTTTGTTTTTTCTTTTAGGGGTAGCGTGGGCGCGAGTGGGGGGGGGGGGGAATGGTGGTTCGGCTCCCAGCAGCCTACCCCCCGCACCTACTCTCATACACACGCTCGTCGCACGAAGAATGCGAGGGCTTGCGTAGGACTCCAGTGCATGTCTAGACGCGACAAGGGTTGTAGGCGATTTTTTGTGTTTGCACTCTGGGCGTCGAGGAGCGTTGGTTGTTGCGGATGCTGGCCTCGGAGGGGGGAGGGGGGGGCTTGGATGTTCACCCTGCTGTCACCGATTACTTCTCAATGACCAGCCGGTCAGCGCGGTCGGCGCCAAATAAAACCAAACACCCCAGGTTTCAACTCTGATGCGAATGACTAGTCAAAAGTATCGATACATGTCGAAATTTGACACTGCGCTTGTGCCCTCCAAGTCTGTAAACGTAGTGGTGGAACGCCCGAGCAAACAGCTAGCTAAGTTGGCACAACATTTCATTTAATTGTTCTTGTGGAACGTCCAGCCCTGAGCCATCAGTTGACCGCAACCGCCTGTACCTGAAGATCACTGTGATAACAGAGTCAGGCGCGTTTGCTCTAAGCTTCAAGTTTTCAAGTTCCCATCTGCCGCTGCTTTCTTGCCGCTGCCGCCCTAAATCAATGCCGTAATTTGGAGACCGGCCCTCCTACATGTGTGGGGCGCGTTTGGTGATGGTTCACGTTCCTTCCCGTTGCCTTGCTTTGCCCCCTCCCCCCCCCCAA